CATTGGACCAATAGGCAGCCTCATGAGAGAAGGAGAAAAGATTGAGGTTGTCAAGAATTTCGTTTTGCTTAGATCCACAGTCAATGCTCAGGATAGTAGCAGTCAAGAGATGAAAAGACAGATTGCATTAGGTAAATCTACTGCACGGGACATCTTTAAAGTGATGGAAAATGAGGAGGTTGCTTTGAGGAATAAGATATGACTTACCCCAGCTATGAAGAACCCGAGTGCCCACAGTGGGCTGCGCATTGAGCTGCTGACCTCGGGGTCAGCTGGTTGGAACTACCAGCTGCTCCAAGGGCGCAAGATGAGCCTTTCTACTCCAGTCAAGGGTTCGTCTCAGAACCCCACAGGGCCAGTTCTATGCTGCCCTATAGGGTCCCCATGAATCAGAACGGACTCGATGGCAGCGAGTGAGACCCGAGCCATGGTGTTCTCCATTGCTTCAAATGCATGTGAAAGTTGGACATGGAATCAGGAAGACCCAAGAATTGATGCCCTTGAACTATGGTGCTGGTGAAGAATATTGAAAGTATCATGGACTGCCAAAAGAGCAAACAGATCTGTTTTGGAAAAAGTACAATGATCAGTGGGAGGGGGGTGTGTGTCTTAGAGTTGATTGTGATAATGTATAGACAAATCTTGTTAGAAGTGGCTTAACTATGAAAGTGTATGATATATGAATATTATATGAAGAAAACTGCTAAAAGAAAAGAAACAAAATTTGACCTGTGGTCACCATGAGTGAAGGAGGAAGAATTTTTGCATAAGGGACATTGAGTTCATTTTAATGGTGGTGGAGCAATTTGGAGAGGGATAACAATAATGAATTTACAACACAAAGAGTATAACCAATGGCCTTGATTTATACATGTAGAAGCTTTTGAATTGGTGAATGTTTGTTGTGTATATTTTTGCCAAAATGGAAAAAAACATAAATAATGAGTTGTTTATGGGGGGAGTAGAAAATGTTGTAAAATTGATTGTGGTCAAGATTGTACAACTCTTCTTGATATGGTTGAACTATTGAATTGTATGATATGTCGACAAAGTGCCAATAAACTGGGGTTTTTTAAGTGCCTACCTCAATTCCCTGCCATCGAGTAGACTTGCTGTGACTCCTAGTGTGACTCAATAGGACAGGGTAGAACTGCCCTTGTGGGTTTCTGAAACAGCAACTCTACAGAAGTAGAAAGCATCATCCTTCTTCCGAGGAAGGGCTGGTGGTTTTGAATCGCTGACCTTTAGAGCCTACCTGGCAGCATATTACCGTTAGAAGCCTCAATAGCATCAGCCCAACAGCACACTCTCCCGCGTAACCAAGACGGATTTGCCTGTCAAGTATCTAACCCACCAACAGCAAATACTATAGCCAAGTCTCCAATATGGCACTATCTCTTGAGTAGACCAACCAGTCTATGGGTGGTATTGACTCCATTGAACACATTCTGCCTTAGAAGGTGAAGCAAATTTATTGTGGCCAAAGTAAACATCTATTTCAAGTGTTTCCTGCCCACTGGCCCACTCTTTCCTGCCCCCTGGAGTGCAACCATCACCACTATTAGAGGGCTCATAGAGTGTTTAAACAAGAGACATGGGATTCTAGGACATGAGACAAGTGAAGAAGGTATGAGAGTGGTCTTGAAACTATAGAACTCACAGGTCACATAATAGCACCCAGGAGCTGCCCGTCTAATACAGTGACTTAATGACCTGCCGAAAGCACAGCTGTTGGGCAAGTTTGAGAGTGACAGTCCCATGCTCTAGGAGGCAGACTGTACACTTACAACCTTTATTTTGGTGCTGTGTCCCCAACAGAGGGAGCACCTGAGTCCAGAATGTCCCTGCTTTTTCAGTGACCCATTAAGGAATTTTGCTGTTTGCTTCACAATTCTAGGCTCTGTGGATTTAGAAGTTCTGCTTCCCATAGGTCAAAACGTGCTTTGCAGGTGAAACAGCAAGTTTCCCAGCTGCTGCCTGGGAGCCTCAGATCCCTTGTGTGATAGGACTAGCAGGCAAAAAGAAGCCTCACCATATTGGCTCTAAAATTAGATTCTCATTATCAGGAGGAGTAAGTCAGGGCAGATGTTACACAAGGGAGACATAGAGGACCATGCCTGGCATCCAGCTGGTCTACTTGGGTGTCTCTTGGTACTCCCCTGGCATATTTTGTTCATCAAGGGCAAGTATAGCAGCTTGGGGAAGACATGAAAACCGGGCTCAGGTCCCTGAGAAACTGTTAGATCTCTCTGGAGCTAGATTTATACGTTGGTCCTTGGCTCCGCGCGAGAAAGAATTCACACCGAAGCCTGGTTCGTGATCGAAGTGAGTTTTATGAAGGTTAGAAGAAGTTTCATGTTTACACGGCACCCAAGGGGCTCCTCCCCGACATGCGGCCTGGCTGAAACTGGCTCGGCGTCCCACAAAGCGTGCCAAAGTTCCGCCAAAGCTCTCTGTGCCTAAGTTCTCTCCCCCCAACCCACCCCCCACTCCGGGCTCCTGCCTTTTTAAGGATTCCACGGGGAGGCGTGGTGGAAGACCCCTGATCGACCCCATTGGCTGAATTGAATTCACCTTGGCCTAGGTGGGCCAATTCAAGTTCACGCCCACCCCTGCCTACCGGCGGGAATCCAAGCCTCTGGACATGTGCAGTGTGCCACTCCTTTGTTTCCCTAGCTTGGCCCTCTGGGCACGCGTTAACGGACATCCCCCAGTCCTATGCTGGCCTACCTAACAGAAACCACCAGGCAAGCCTCTGAAGTCCTGAGACGTGAAGTTAGGGGCAAGGACTGACTGGTGGGGGCCGGAAACGATGAGTAGCAATCAGCTACCGTCTGAAGATCAGCAGCAATGTGTCAGTTATCTCACTTAGGGTCTTCCTCTTTTTCATGGACACTCAACCCAGCATGATGTCCTCTCAGGGACTGGTCATTCCTGATAACATACCCAAAGTCTCCCCACCCTTGCTTCTAAGAAGCACTAGCTGTACTTTCCCAAGACAGATATGTTGGTTCTCCAGACAGTCCATGGGATATTCAGAACTCTGCCCCACCACCATCATGCAAAGACATCATTCTTCTCTGGTTTTGCTTATTCATGGTCTGGCTCTCACATGCATATGAGGGGGTGGGGGGCCTTCAGGGAACTTCCAGCCATCTTACTGGACTCACTTTCAGCTCACTTGCCATCCACTTGATGCTAATTCATAATGATCCTATAGAGCAGTGTTTTCTCAACCTTCCTAAAGCCACAACCCTTTAATAATGCTCCTCATGTTGTGGTGACCACCACCCCCCAACCAAAAAGTTCTTTTTGTTCCTCCTTCATAACTGTAATTTTGCTACTGTTATGAATCAGGAGACCCCTGTGAAAGGATTGTTTGACCCCCAAAGGGGTGCGGACCCACAGATTGAGAACGGTTGCTATAGAGTATTGTAGAACTGATCCTGTGGGTTTCCAAGACTAACTCATTACAGGAATAGAAAGCCTCATCTTTCTCCCAGAGTTGCTGGGTTTTGAACTGCTGGCTTTGCAGTTTGCAGCTCAATGCATAACCGCTGAACCACCAGGGTTCCTTGACGTAGATAAGAGGTGATAGAAGATACCAGATGCTAGTTCAGGAACACCTGAGTCTTCAAAGTAACACCTTTGCTTTGCAACACTTTAAAGATATCTTTTGTAGATTTGCCCAATGTCATATAGCATTTGATTTCAGATATTGGGTTATTATTAACCTCAAGATCAATGGTGCAAACCCATTAGCTACTCCTTGAGAGAAAAACTAGGCTGTCTGCTCCCATTAAGATTTACAGGCTTGGAAACCCTTTGTACATGGGATCAATATGAATTGGACATTGATTGTGGATCTAAGTTAAATCAAATCCTTGACACTTAATTTTTTCTCCATTTGTCACATGGCATGCACTACCATTGAGTTCACTCCAACTCATAGTGGCCGTATACAGGATTTCTGAGACTGTACATCTTTTTAGGAAGAGACAGCCTTATCTTCCTCCTGCAGAGGGGCTGGTGGATTTGAACCCCCCAACCCCACAGTTAGCAGTCCACCACCTAATCCACAGCACTACCCTGGGACATAGTATAGAGGTCCAATCAATGTTAGCTTTTATCATTCTGGATACCTGAAAGTAGGAAACCCATGTTCTAGTCCATACACCTAGACTCTCATTTCGGTATAATCTTTACTGCTTCTCAGTTTCTTCACCTCGGTTTTCTTGCTGTAAAGTGAAGCCGCGGGTATCCCCACATGTGTCCAGGGTCCCTTTCATGCCAAGAATTCGGAATCAAAGGTTACTCAAGCACTCGGGCGGGCAGGGTGACTCAAGAGTGCAGGTGTCTGTGGCAGCAGCGTGGGAAGTCAGGGGAGGGGTCCTCTTGGCAGCGAAACACACCCAGCAAGAGAATCCCTGCCTGGCCCAGCCCTCCTGAAATCGCCACTCCCCCAGTTAAACGCCGGCTAGGCATTGGAGTGCCGGTTTGGAGAGAAGGTGACACTAGGAGTTGCCAGGTCTTCCACCAGACTCTGGTTCAGCATTGGGCTGCGATCCGCCAGGTCGGCGGTTCAAGACCATCAGCAGCTGGGCTTTCTACTTCCGTAAACAGTTACAACCGTCTCGGAAACGCGCGGTGGGTCGCGGTGAGTCTGCGTTGACTCGATGGCAGTGAGTTGAAAGCGAGTCCGGTAAAGTGGCCGGAGCAGCCTGCGGCGCTCAGGCCGCCCGGCGGCGCCCGCGGAGCCTCGGACTGTGGCAG